ACAAAAATGAGTTGTTGTTATTTTAAAAAATAAAGTTGATTTTAATATTGGCACGACTGAGAGCTTACAAGTTGTAAGCTCATTACAAAAATATTGAGAGTTAATGAGAAAAATAACGCTGTTTTTTTAATTCAATTCCTATTGTGGATTAAAAAAAAATACCACGCGTTCAACGGTACAATAACTTCTGGTACAGGCTGTAGAGTTTACACATACATTTTCGGAAACAAGGACTATAAGTCTACGCGGACCAACTATGACACATACTAATATACATGCAATACTGTAGTTATATATTAATATTATAACTGTGTCCGATGGAAGTATGAACAGATATATAGTTGATGAAACTTACTACTACTACTATTACTAATAATAATAGTTAATATGTGTATGTCGTGCGACACACGTTTTCATTTCGTGTACGAGTAGTGGGCATACGTAACAATAATTTCGAACCGAGAGTATGAGTTCATTGTTCGCATAAAGCATAAACTAATATTTACGTGAGTCCAAATCGAACGGCTGATGTGAAGAACTTTAACTACAGATTCTACTTCACAAGTAGTGAGCACGACAATAGAATTAGACAATAATCGGACCATATAATATTGAGAAAATGAATAATATTAAGATGTTTAACAATTGTTTGAGTTCTCTATTCCGGCCAATGGTCATGATTATGACTCATGAGTCATGACTTACTGTGATAGCACCAATGATAATTATTTTATTTTTATAATAATAAACGGGTTTGAAACTCATTTAAAAACGTTTTCAAATGCCAAATTACATCATTACAATACTTACAATAAGTCAATAACACTCATAAAAGATTATTAAATTAATTTTAAAATTATGATAAATATGGTAAATTTAAATCATTAAGGTTGATTATTTGAGATTAATATTTAAAAATATTATGAGTACCTATAATATTGTTTTAAAAAGAAATAATTTATACTCATTATTCAAAATTTCAAATGATTCCTTCAGGCAAATTGCCTGACAACAAACCTACATTTTTAATAATAGTTTATTATTATTATATTGTGCTAAATGTTTTCAATAATTCCACGATCGAAAATTAATTAAATAGGGTGCTGTAGATTCTTAAATGTTTTCATACCACTGTTTAGTCGTATACTATAGTTCACAATTTATTTGATATTTTTTAAAATGTATTCTACGTCAACTACATCAAATTTATTACGAGGAGACTGTTAAAACATGTCCATTTCCTCGTGTCATGCTCGTGCCCTCCACCCGATATTATAATATTATAAATTACTATAGCGGACTTGGAAGCACCTGATAAATAATTTTAAAACAAAATTGTGAAAATATATGTTAGTAAATACTAAATATCCCCAAAATTTTTCGGTTTAATCGAAGTTAGGCCATTAAACAAATTGTGTAAATGATGAAAAGGTTCGAAAAATAGAATACTAACTATGTGGACAAAAAGCAATTTCAGATTAAAAAAGGGGAAGGAGCAGTGAAATGGATACGAATTATTCAATGTAGGTATCAGAAAAAAATTTGTTTTTCACAGATCTATGAACTAACTTTATTAAGAAAAAGAAAATGTTTTAATATTTTACTGCAAGTTAACGTAAACAATTAAATACTACATGGAACCATTGTTGTATACTGTATTACTGTGGGTTAAATGTATGGGTACCTAATTTAAATTGTAAGAGCACATTGATATATTTCTTCTAAAGAAGTCAATAACAATGTAAATAAAATATGTTTAAATGATATGTAAATCAGATTTATAACATTATGATAATATGGTAACTAATTGGGTTGTATTAATTTTATTTTTAAATGTTCACTTTATAAATTGTAATGCAGGTAATATTATCCATAGTGTATATTTAATATTTAATAAAAATTATATCATTGTAATATTGTATCAGTTAAGTAATAATACACAATGACATTAATTGTAGATAATCATGACGAACGCATATTGCGAATCTGGCCGCGTCTTAACCTCCTTCAAAATATATCATATTGTAAGTAACATGTAACCCTATTATGTTACTGGGAGAAGAGCTATTATTATTCTCTTCTCGACGTAGGTACTAGGTGTATACCTACATGACGTGGAATGAGTAGGTATCCAGTTTTGCTCTTTAGTCTAACATCATGCCCGGCTGTGTATGTACCTTTATAATATATATTATACCTATACGTTGTATTTAATACCCTGGTATAACATTATAAATAATGGGGACTGCTACTGTAATGTAGGTACAGACGTTTACATCATAATTAGACGAAATTACCCTAGCCAGTGTGATGGGGATGGTCGAGGGGTTGAGTCAGAAGACTCGGGTTATTATTTTACAGTGTAATGAATCCCCAAAACTTCTTAATTAAACGACCCTCAAAAAGCAACGAGAAGGCAGCCGCGGTGGCAACGGAATCCTCAGAGACCTGACTCGGCTCGTTATAACATTCGTAATCCGAATGATACGGGCGCGCTAATGGAATTCAAAACTGTTGTCTCGTCTTTGCGGCCTTTGTTCTGTAGAGAAAACGAGTACAAAATCTGTCCTAATATTTCATCACGACGACGTCACTACCCGCAGTACTGCAGTAGTATACGGATCTATGGAATTAGTGTTGAGTGAGGGTTGTGGGGAGGAGAGGGGGGGGGGTGAACTAATGAACGTGTAAAATGTTTAGCTTCACAATAATTTAGAAATATTAGCCACAAAAAATAGTTTTCACATACCTACCAACCTCTCAGAGTCCCAATTTACGTATAACCCATTTGTACGATTACGACTATGCACTAGCGAGTGTTTATCTTTGTTAGCTACTTAGGTAGATAAGAACACGAGAACGGTGGCCCGTCATGTATCACCAACTATGGTGTTGGTGAGTACCGGTCCCTGGTGGACGTTTGAACAGCCGTGAAGAGGTTCATCTTTTATACTTTCGGGATATATAATAATAATGAACCAGGGAAAGAGAGGAAAATAAAATTGCGAAAACCCTTTCCGTAAGCGATTTACGTTTGTGTACACGCGTCATGTGTATAAAAACACAGTTCGGCTTTTAAACCATAAAACGGCAAAGGGTACGACGACGTATATACCTATAGTGCTGGTGTGTTTAATGACTTTTGCTACTTAGCGATATTCTCCGCATCCACGATCCACTGCGTATAAATAGAGGAAAACTATATACACACACACGGCGTCAAATCCAATCGCGTTTGGGTTTTAATTAAAATCGAACAGCTCCTAGGGAGAATAGCAAAAATAAACTACAGCAGAACAAAACAAACGTTTTTCGCGACAAAGCCCGTTCAACGACGATTCCAGTCTATACATAGACCTTTGATGCCCTGGTGTACAGTTATGGATATGATAATGTGAGCCCGACTCATGATGTATGGGCATATATGTATGTTGTATAGACACGCAAACGTCATATATTAATATTCTTCAACGCGCGCCAAGATCAAAGGCATAATATATAATAATATCGTAATGTATCACGCTCACCACTCCTCAATGCCGTTTTTCGTCGGCATGCCAAAAGCTTTTTTCCGAGTCCCGTGTGTTATGGTCTCGTAACCAAGACGACGACCGCGACCGTGGTATGCCAAGCCTTTGCGACGTATAGGCCCATTTAATTCGCCCGTTTTATAGTGTGGCACCATGTCGGCGTGTAATTAAATAAGGCATTTTGTATAATAATAAAATAAATAATTTACGAATATAGTAATTAATGGTCTTTTGTGGGGGGTGGAGCATTTGCCAATGTTTTAAAAATGCTCCTCGCTCCCGGTCAGCACGATAAATCTTTAACGGGCTTTATTATAACAAGCACTGATCTAAAAAAAACACGCTAGACCCAAAAATATAATCGTCAAAAATCGCCACGTTTGTTGATAGTTACAATCATAATTATTTTGTTTCCGTTTTCTGACTTAACCGTCTTTAAAAATCAATACAGTAGTTACCTACGATTTGCAACGTGCCTTAATATCTCTTTTTCGTTTTTGGTATTTGCGTTTTTAACATACAGACAGTTGAAAATATTTAAATAATTATGATTATTAAGCTCATTGAGTTGTATGCACATTGCACATAAGATACGTAATAAAATAATGCAATGGTGAATGCTGGATTACAATATTTTTATTTCATTACACCAGATCATACTTATTCAATACTACATTACCCGGCCTGCGTTCATGATGCGAGTTATCAAATATTTAAAAACTTACGAGTATTATGGCCTTTGTCTTTATGCGGCCGGGTATACGAATAACTTAGTATTCGTTATTATAACTGAAAAGTACATATTTGTTCGGAACAATCTGGTTATAAAACAGAAGTATAATATATTTGTTTATTTTCATTGATAAATTAGGTCGTTGTGTGTTTACAAATATTCACAAATGACAATAATTGGTTTTCATATTACATAATGAACTACTATGAGCAATAACTATAATGAGCATAATATTCTGAAATTAAATTTCTTCTCAATGATTAATGTTGAACAATTTTTTATCTACCGAGATTTAAATTAATATTTTTTGATAATGTGTTAGGTAATTTCAGTTTTTAGTACAAACAGTATTAGATAAGATTAGTAATAAATACGAAAAATGTTACAATTTTGAAAATATAAAAATTTAAAATTATAATATGGGTACTATAAAAAAAATTTGGGGTCAACGAAATTTATTTATATCCATCCAAAAACATATTAGTTGAAATTTAATTTAACCAATTTTTATTTTTGGTATGTGTATTATTTGTATCCAATTATTTTTAATTTACCATATTTTAATAATATTAAATGTTCACTTCTAAGTTCTAACTTTATTTAATTCAAGTAATTGAGTATTAATGCTATAAAAATTCAAATTGTTATCAAAAACATTGTTGTTGTAGAGCCAATAGCTTCTAACTCCCACTAAAAAAGTTTTTTATCTACTGAATAATTATATTACCTACATAGTATAACAATGTCAACACATAAAGCATATTGTGTTTAGTTTCAGTACAATTTAGTAGACAATTCGTATTGTTTAGGTGAAACTTCAAAACCATTAATCGTCATGTCATTTATATTGTGGTTGGCTCTGGTTTCCACTGGATGTCTAGTGAATTTAGAGGTAAATGTTAAATAACAATTCACTATTAAATTTGTCGTCAATATTAAATTAATTAATAAATAATTGATTCTTTTGAGCAATGAATATATTGACTAGCTATACAAACAAACTAAAACAACGTTTTACTCATAACACAAAAATAATATGTTTTGAACTTACAAGACGTATTACATTTTACGGAATATACGTTTTATGAGATACTATACAAGATAATCGCTGGGATTTTATATTTTTGTTTGTTTACAATTTGATATTCTATTTTTATTATAAGCTTACATTTGAAATATATGATGTCAATGTGACATGTTTTCAATACCTTACCTCCTTAACTATAATATGATTGTACAATTTAAAGAATTTATTGATTAAAACTCAAATGGATTATATATAATGTTTTTTTAATAGATTTAATTACATATTTGCAGGCTGCGGAAATTGCTGAAAACCATATTCTAACGCCAGAAATACCTGTGCAAGACAATTCAATCATCGAGGTAAGGAGCATGAAGTTAATGACAAATCATTTCCAAAGAATTTTTTAAATAAAAAAACGAATTTCAGATAACATTTCATTTAACATAGTTGTAATACTGTACTATTTCATTTATTTCATTAATATTTGAAAAAAAACATCTTCGTGTCAAATCATTGTCGAAAAACTTAAAAATAATTGCATTGTTTGGTATTATAGGCTATAGATTAAAATGTTTTATTGTTTTACGCACAACACACATAATTCGAAATACTTCAGTATTATAGTCTATATAATAATAAATTCATATTCTTTTGAAGTATATTTACTTTTTTGACTTTTTTAAGTGTGTTTAATTTATGACATAAATAGAATATTATACATTTTATATCTTTTTTCCATGCTCATATTAATTTATGGACCAGTTATGGATTTTCCCTAACTTAATATTAGGTGACTTTAGTCTATAACATTTGTTTCTAAATTGTTATCTTATTATAATCTACTTGCTATATGCCTATATGTATTACAAATGAACATTTCAATACTTAAAAATATTCTTAATTATTATGAAATGTTTCTATCATAGTGATAATATAGTACCTAAAGCGTTATAACGCCGTGTCTAATATTATGTCACTTTAAAATGCAACTATTTTGATATTTTGATGCCTTAACAAAAATATACAAACCAGATGTTATAACAATATTACATTATAATATGTTGATATATTTTTTTTTTTTTAAATATGAGCAATTTAACAAATTAATATTTCAAAATAATTGTTGTGACTATAGGTGCCTAGGTCAGTATCTAAAAAAAAAGGGAGACAACTTTCAGATTTAGATTCACTATTCAAATTCATTAATCTTACTACTGAAGAATTCATGAGAGATTCATCAAATGGAGTTATGGACTATAATTCGTATTTGGATACTTTAAGATATGCATTTGTTGAAGTAAAGTAACATTATTTTGTACCTTAAATCATACATGTGCATTGTTCAGTGTTGTCGCATACTCGAATATAATAAGTATTCGAATGATTTTGTTTCAGTGTTTAATACTTTTTAGCATCAAATATTTTTAATGGTATTTGAAATACTTTAATTTTGTCAAAAATACTTTTAGTTTTTCAAATATATATTTTTTAAATATTAATAATTGTTCGGAAATGTCTTCTATAAATATTATTATCCAAGTAAATATTATTAATATACTTCAACCGAATATGTAGTTAGTAACTATGATAAAATATATAAACTAACATGACCTAAAAGTTTGCATACGTGTTTTGGCTAATAATAAAAAATGTATTACTTAATTCTTCGATATAAAGTATTATAATGTAAATATTATGTATTTAGTATTTTGAAATAGTGTTAAATTAAATCAACAAATTGAAAGCTAAAAGTATTTTTAAAAAAAGTATTTCAAATATTTTTTAAAGTATTTTAGTAGTATTATAAATTTATTTTTTTAAAGTACCTTTTACAACATTGTAACAATGTGTAACATAAAAATTATTACTCTAATGAGATTCTTTTTGTTTTGTTTTTTTATAGTATAAAAAGGCCAATAGGGTTGAAACCACCACTGAGCACAACTTTGTTAGTTACGGATGGTAAATCAACCAAAAAATTGTCATTTATAAGAATGTGTGTGTGTTAACTTTTGTTTACAATTTTTAATTTTAAAATATAAAAATGTATCAATAGTTTTAAAAAAAATCATCATCCCTTAATTTTCCATTAAAGAAATAATAAAAGTAGTCATTTAGAAAAATATAGTGTTTATAAGTTGTTTTTATTATTTATTGAACGTACCTATTGATTTTTATGATCAGTTCTTATTTTCTATTAATATTTTTGTTTCAACATTTCAAAAATTAATAATTTGAGGTTCCTATAATATTAGATGTGTTAAATATGTATTCACCGTTCATAAACAGAATACAATACCTATATTTGTTCAATTGCAAATATTGAAATATTTATCCAAAGGTTAGAGTTGAAAACGAAATTGTGTTAATTTGTAAAATAATATAATCTATTTTATCTTCGTAAAATTATATATGAAAACAAAAACGAAATAATTCTACATCATGGGTCTGAAATAAATACAGGGAAAATTGTTTTTTTTAGAACATGTATTTATTTATTTATTTAACAGGTGTTTATACAAATAATAATGTTAATGGTCAATTAAATGATTGTAGTACCTATGAAAACATCTTGAACTCTATATTTTTACATTGACCTATATCGTTTAATTCACTCAGTTAATTATTAAGCCTTGTTATATATAAATTTTCATATAATCTACATGATATATATAATTAAAACAGTCCCTATTGTATTTAAATAAATTATCGTGTACTTGAAATAGTAATGATTTAGATACATATTTTTATTTTTAATTAATTTAAGGAAGTACCCTATAGTAGACATAATACATAATAGAACTACTATTTTGTAAGTTATCACAATGTACATGTTATTAAGGTGTTGTCAAGATTAGGTATTAATGAATTCAAATATATATATATGCATAATGAATTATGTTACATTTAGAGATCCTTATTTGTATTATTACTTATACATTATAAAGTTGATTTTCTTATGTATTTATTAATTTCAATTTTATTTATTTAAAAGTACATACATTTAGTAACATGAGAATTTTTCTTTTAATGACGTTTCTATGACGTCATGATAGATGCGTACTCCAAGATCTAAATTCCTATTACTATCATCGACACGAATTTATCTAAAATCAACTATTCGATTACTTTTATCGCTGACTATAGTGATTAGAAAATATCAAATATTGACTTTGAATTAGATTTTGTTGTTTTTACTTCTTAAGTAACAACTAAAAAATATACAAAAGTAGGTTTCCTATTTTTATCTTACTATTTTCTAAATTATTTACTTACTCATCAAGTTAAAAAAATATCTTAACTTTCCCAGTCCTAGCGGTATTGTTTGTTTTAAATTACATGCATTGATGCATTCATTCAGAGAATAAAATATTAACATAAATGAAAGTAGGAACAACATAAAATGTATGTTAAAGCTGTCATGATTATAATTCAAATTTAGGTGGCATGCCTATACCTTAGGTATAATAGGTAGCAGGTAATAGGTACTGGTTATTGTAATTTGTAAGTAGTTAATATAGTTACTAATTAATATCTTTAATATATAAATAAATCTTATTTTAATTATTTTTTTATATCGAAAATATTAATTAATATCCAATCTAATTAATTATAATTTATAATCAGACGAATTAACTATGCTTAAATATTACCTATCTACTCGATCCACTTTTGCAATTAATGATATCATAATTAGTGGCAAATTCGTGGTAGGTATAGTAATTTTGTTAACAATCTTGCGACTTATATTTAAAGTGTACACAACAAATCCGTATAAGGGGTTTCGTAACAATTAATCCAATCAAAAATATAGGTACAAGGATTAAATATAGGACTAACATTAAAATGATTTATAAATAGTTCGTCCATTTTATATTTGAATCGAATTTTAATAAGAATAGTGTATCTTTTGAAGAAAACAGTGGCTACATTTTTAATGATCAATACACTTCAAATTTCCATTCCCAAAAAAATATGGATTTAACATTGTTAAATTAAAAATTATTATTACCACTTTATCCTTAAAAAAAAACATGATTTATTATAGTTCCGAATACTTTCGCACCACAATGCCTGAGATATAGATAGTAGATACTAAGTTGTGATTTTAAATTCATAGTAATTAAGCAGAATGGAATTTAACTAAACGATATGATAAAAATAAAAATGAAATAAATTATATTATGGTGTAACTGAGTAAAGAGTAAACACTATTTTTGAATTTCACTTTTTATCGTCACCGTTTACGGTATACTAATATTATTAATTCTGATGACTAGCTCATTCCAAGAATACCAGGTACTCATGTATCTCTTACACTGATTTCCAAACTCCAAAATTATGTTAGTTCAAAATCTAATCATTCCAACGTTCATAACTGAAATTCATCGTCAACGGGCAATAATTTTTCAACAATAAATATAAAGCAATGTATTACAACATGATAATTATGTAAATAACCTACGCTGCAGCAATAACGCAGTGCGTGCTACGGTTTGAACGATAGAAAGGGGATGAGTGCCACTTTGAGAACACATGCAGTAAAATCTGTGAAATATACGAGTATTATGTGTATTACGGTGTTTTATACGATATTTATTATGTGAACACGAGCGGACAACCGTCCGTTACAAAACCAGAAACAAAATAACAGTACCCAGTAAAAAGGTATATAAAAAATAAATACAAATACATATAGGTACACCTATATTATATTATACAAGTTTAGTCTTCAGTCTGTTTTAGTGAACTGTACACATTGGTCAAAGCAGATAGTTTCTAACCGTCATGGAGTCCGTACTGTGGTTAGCCTTGATTTCAGCTGGGTGCATGTGTCTGGCTAGTGTCGCGGTAAATATAATATGTTTAACTTAACTATTTATTTATAATATACCTAATTAATTAAGTATAGTAAATTAATTTGAGGAAATGAGTTCACTTAACAACGAAATTACTGCATACAGCATTGTAAAATAGATTTTATAAATCGCGTATATGATTTGTATAACTTTGAGAATAAAGAACAAACATCCTCTAACATAGATTAATGTTTGTTTTTGTTGAAAAAAAGCGTTAAAACAATATTTAACTGTATCGAGCATAACATAAAATATAGGTTGGTGCAACATTTTTTTTACATTACCTAAACTACGTTTGAAGATAACTATAATGTGGACTATTTTAAACATAAAAAATGTTTGGATTTGAATTGTTATTGTGTCATTTATGTCACAACATATTATTTAACATACTGTTCAAAAATATCGGCCGTTTTAATTTAAACATATGTTAAATTAAAAATAAATGAATACTACATACTTCAATATTAAAACGTGTCAAAGTACATTTTAGACAAAACCAATGATTTCTACGCAATATTATTATCCTTTCATTTTAAATTACATATTTTTTTTGTCTTGATATTTTAGAGTATTTATTATTTTTAATTGTATCGCTGTTATATACACTTTTAGAACAATATATTCTATTATTAAAACGCAGAGCACGTTTATTTCGGTTTCCTTATAGAGCTACCTATATAAATTCATAAATAATCATTTTGATATGATTTTACGACTAAATGTTTCAATAATTTCCTATACGTTTATTTACGAGCCTCGCATATATTACTTGCACATAATATGAAGTCTAATTTAATACCATACGTCCGATATGGACACTGAACCATCATTTCACTGAGTAAATGTATGGCAGAAATACTCATAAAATGATAATCGTCTTGTTTTTTAAGAGAAAAAAATTAATAAATTCATTAATAATTAGTAAACATAAAAATATTAATTCGAGTGTTTGATGCAGGCTGGTCCAGTTTCTAGGAAAAACACATTCGTTGAACTAGACGCACAGCTACTGGAACGCATTGAACTGACCACTGAGGAAATAGCAAGGAATTCAACAAGAGAATTCGTAGACCACGAAATTCAAGCTATGATTGATCTGTTCATTGGAAATTTAAACATCACGATCGTCGACGTATGAAGGCTTATGTGCAGTACACTGCGGTGTAAACGTTGTTTTTTTAATCTAAATTTAGAAACTTTCAATTTTTTTTTTTTTGTAGTTAGAGCAATATTCCATTCACCGGAATAGTTCCAATTTTAATGATACGCGAATGAAAGAATTTCAAAAAAAAGGATTGATAATGTATGAAAACACTGCAATCACCATAGAGTACGTAGTATACAAAACCGGTGTTCTAACAAAGTCTATCGAGGAACTTGAACAGCTCGAAAAATATATAATCGACGAAGAAAAAGTAAATATTTCTACTTAAACGTACTATATTTCATTGGTATTTTGTAATCTAAAAAATTCTGTTACTATTTATTATTTTTTATTTAGAGATTAAAAGATATTTCTAATAATTTACTACAAAAAAAAATAAAATCAGTTTTGGACAAAATACAAACAACCAAGAAATTCGTCGGTAATCACGTGGACCATTTAAAAGAAGTCAACGACATATTAAAAGGGCTTGGTGAAAAACTGATGACAACGTTAAAAGTTTCCAATCATTCAAAATAATATTGATTAGTCTAGAATAATCTAAGAGAACATCACGTTATGTGTTGAACGTAAACTTTATACTGCTACATTTAATTATAATTTTGAATAACATTAAGTTAGAATAATAAGAGATACAATAATCAATAACAATGATTGAAATATATTTTTTTACTGTATGTTTAGTAATGATACAATATTTAATATTTTAAATTTATTAAAAAATTAATGTTTATCTTATTAAACTTCATGATTTTAATAAATTCTCGCGGACGCAATACTGAAAAACAAATTAGTAGGTATTACTATAGAAATTAAATATTTTTTATTTTAAATCAATATTTATATAAATATATCATGAAACATACTTATAATAATTAACTTAATTATAGGGCATATTATTAAGGATAAATAGTATACAAATGGAGAAAACTTTATTAATTTTTAGGTTTATGTATACGAGGTGTAACTATTTTTCTGACAAATGAAATAGCTTATGTTCTAATCAATATTACATTTTGTTATTATTTATAGACACTTGCGTTACAAATAAGTACAGCATGGAATTTTTTTTTTATTTTTCAATACTGAAAATTAAAATGTTTAAATTGTGTTTAATCTTTTTTTGGAAAAATTCAAAAAAGCCAATTTGTGTATCTAATTTTTAGAAAAATATTGATGGTCAAAACATTTATTTAAGTAATAGAGTTTAAATCTTATAATTTTTTAGAATATCAATATTGTTTTGAAGTAAATTTATTCAAAAAGTAATTACTTTTTCATAATATTCTTTTTTGGGAATTTTCAGGCACAAGCAAATGTTAAATTATTTATTAGACACAGGCACGCTTTTCAAAATTTTGTTCACACGTTTTATTAAAATCAATTTTTCGGGTTTTTCTGTTTCATCCTGTAAATAATGTATATATAAATAGCTTGTGAGTTACTTTAAATGTAACAAATTAACAATTATTGTAAGTTACTACTTATAGAAAATGTTGACCATTATGTATATTTATGCAATTTAAATTTTAAACATAACAGTTATATATATTGAAAAACATATGATAATTATCCATTTTCTAATAATATTGAGTAATATAAATAATATAATAATGTATAGTTATCATATTGTCAATAACGACTGCTGCCATCATCGTTGATATTTGATACGTCATTATGCGTACCAAATGATAACTACTGTACTCTCTAAATGTGTTAGGTATATTGTTTAATTTCGTATTACTTAAATACCATATATTAATATAGTAAATATATATTTTATTTTAATGAAATATATATTTTGTAGTGCTAATTGTTCACCAAAGCCAAAAATATATTCATGGCCATTAAAAAAAAAACTAGTTTAAATGCATTAATAAGAGTTATGGAAATCGACTATATTTTTATTTGCATTATAAACTCAAATTATTTCCATTTTTGAGATCGCTATAAGTAAACATGGTTTATTTTTTTTTATTTAAGAATTTTAATCAATATTCTATTTTTAAATTATTTAATCTAATCTACTACCATTCCTTAACGCAATTGTTGATCAATTTTTTTATAACAAGATATTTGTTTAATTTGTAATTTTTATACATACAATGTTTTTATCAAGAATTAGCGATATACAGTGGTCTAATCTTATGCAACTTTGGTCTTGTATTACTATTATAATATTTTTTAATATAACATAATAAAAATATTGTATTATTTACACATTAAAGTTTCATTAGCACACATTATGAATACACGTGTAGGTTACATACCCATGGTAAGTACAAAGAATATTAATACGACTAATGATATTAAAAAAATATTTCATTTGTATCTTAAACTACTCAGATAAAATTTTTATCTAATTAAAATAATAATGAACATTTTAATCAATTAATATAATAATACTGCATTATTTTTATTATTTAAGTGATAAAAAGGGGAAATAGTATAAATATTGACTTCGTGTAGCTTACGATTATCATTCAAACTTAGGTGTCATCAAGATGAGGACGTCACATCTCTACGTTATCTTACTAACTGCATTGGTAGTTCAGGAAAGTATTTAAAAATAAATATTTAGTGTTATAAAATAAAATATATTATAATTTTTTGTTTTTATTTAATTTAATTTAATTGCATAGTGATAAATAATGATATTTGGTACTATAGATTTCCTCTGAAACTACTGCTAAACCTGCTGAACTAGATACACTGTTTAAGAGTATTCTATCATCTTCATTTGAGATTGTAGCAAGGCCTATCGTGGATTTTGTAAATATAATACCAATCGATGTAGAAAAATACTTAACAGAATTCACTTGGAAATTAAGGGACTTTATAGAACAAGCCGAAGAGGTAATTCGTAATATTTTATAACCTAAAGAGAATAGTGTACCTATGTATTGTCTTGATAATTTTTCTGTATTTAAGATAAAAATATATTTCTAAGCCTTTATCTAAATAATTTTTTCAATGTAGTTATTGTGAATACTTCAAATGCACTTTAAATTTGATCAGAGTACATATTTTTATGTTTTTAGAACTCATCCAAATTGTTAAACTATTTAAAATTGTAATATACGTAGTAGATTGTCCCGAATATATTTCATATTTACATATACAGGCATAGTATGGGCGTATGGTATACAATGCATTCTCATATATCAGTCATATCGTATTTTCGACATGCATTTTATTTAAGGGAATCACCGGACTAATTTATATTTTTAATCTTATGTTTGATAATTAATCTTTGTATTGGAAATGTTTTACAAAAGTTTGAACTTAAAATATATATTATATCAACGATATTTTAATATTGATCATTTGAGTGATAAAAACTTAAATACATTACTGTGAATTCATAGAGCAAAAGAGCAAACGGTGGCCTAGAATGTTTAACACTCAAAAGTTGCTTGTCTTATAAAACGATTTCAATTGCTCGTGATAATAGATTTCTTATTTGTTTATTTGAATCGGAGATGTTTATGTGTTTAAGATGATAGTGACATTTTAATTTTAGTATGACCTAAAACTTTTCCATAACATATAAAACTATTAGAATAAATGTAAAAGCGCGTTGGAGCTCATGATAACTCGGAACTATGTGCAATCGATTTTATAATATTTATACCTACTGTATACTAATCTATAAAAAAAATTGCACAGTTTGTAGGTACTACGTCTCATTTTAGTTCTCGCCGTTGTCTCAAACGAAAGATACGTCTAAGATAGAAAAATAGTTTAAATTATAATAACAAAAGTCATATAGGTACTAAAATTGTTAAATATCCAAAGAGCATACGTAGAACGTAGACCACTCCCGGCATTCTCTCTTCGTCTCTATCCTCTATTATCAACTCAATCATGTTTTAAAATACTCAATGTCTCGTTACTCGTTGTCATAATGTAGTAAGTATTGTTCGGCTTCTGATTTTTACAGAAACGTTTAGAATATCTATAATAATTAATCATTTCACTTAAGAATATAATATAAAACATTATTTTTATACTTGGACTACCTTTTACAGTACATGAATTAGGTTTATATTGTAAAGTGATGGATCCTTTCCATTGTAACATTTGTTGTTGCACAAGGATAATTTTTATGATTTTTCTAGTGATACTTTAAGTTGTATATACGTCATAGAGTGTAAGATGTACACTTAAAAGTTTATATATTATATAATTTTAAATTTTTTTTGTCATTTTTATATTAGAATTTCTTCCAATATTTGATTGCCATTCTAATAATGTTTATATTATTAGATGATTTGTACCTACTAACTGTTGTGAATTTCACAATTATAGTTTCTATACTATAGAATCGTTAATTTCTAGCCAATATGTACCCAATTACAGAGTCTACATAGGTACTCAATTAAAGAATTTTTATTAGATAATAGTAGTATTGTTATACACAATTTTTTTTAACTATTGGAAGGATAAATTATTTTCATATTTCTGTACTTTTTTTGAAATTTGTAAGTGAAACATCTAATGCGGCGTGTGACACCGGCTGTTGGCGTGGTGACGAGTCATCAAGCGCGTGTACTCACACACGTGAAACATCTAATGCGAATTAAGATTCAGAACAATTTTTTTTTTTATTTGAATATTTTGTTTTTTATTATGCCATATTTATTTCTTTTAATAAACCATCCCTCTCAATTGATATGAATATTTACTTTATAAAATAGTTTCACATCTGCCAGCTAGAGTACTATAGTGCATGATGGACAAACATTAAATAAAATATCTTTTAAGGATTTTTTGAATACGATACCAAAAGAAGACAGACAAAATAAAAAAAAAATGATTGGATACATCCAAATAACATTGTCAAGAGCATTATCAAAAGTAGAAAAATCTGTAACAACCGCAACGAACGAATCTTTTGACGCATTACCAGATAATATTAAAACCAAATTACTTGACATAGGAAATGAAATTGATGACTTCTTAAGAAAAATATGGGTAAGTTTAGATGTTTAAAATATATCATGGTTAATATTTAATATTGTATTCAATTATTACATACCTAATAAAATATGTTTTTTCGTGTACAGATGAAAAATAGGAAAGATTCAAAAACGTCACAAAAAACCCAAAAAACACCCGAAGATTATTGAATATTTAAAAGGTACCCGATAAAAAATAATTGAAAATCTAGTTGATACAACAAATAACAATTCAATGTTCACTTTTAATTATATTAGTAGTAATGACAAATGATCTATACAAGTTAAGACTATTAAAATATTTTTCTTAACACGGACATTGTATATATTTATAATTCATATGTTTTTAAATTATATACGTTAACTTTATTTGTAAGGCAAATGTTATAAAAATATTGATTAGAATACTTAATTATAAAAACTTTTTGATTGTTTACAAAAAGCTTACATTATATTTAATTTCAGCTATGTGATGAAAATTGCAACTTATAACTTTATAAGAATATTATTGTTTTATTTATTTATAATTATAAAAATTCACAAGAAAATAATAAATATACATTATGCAATATTTTACATTTGTTAGTATTTTCATTAGAAGAATGTAATTTGTGTTGAAAAAATAAAAATATTTAGAATTACTGCCTGGTAGTAAGAACCCATTATGTTCAGAAACTTTATGTTTAGTTATATTTTGATATATATATATTAAATTATAAAGTTGAAAACGTACAAATTATATGGAGGTTTAAAATGTATAAAATGTTTTATTTGTATTTAATTTGTATAGCAAAGGATTGAAAATTTAAAACTAGGTCCCACATAAGTAGAACATTCGGTAGCCAAAGAATCTAAAAAAATATATAAAAACAGTTTTTCTTATAATTATTTTTAGTTCAACTTTGGACAAAATAACATATTATAACCAAGAATAACGATTCTAGTCATTTTCTAGAATTTTAAAAATACGATCATGGGTAGGTACATAAAACTTTTAGAATAGGTAGGTATATTATTATATTTTATACACACAATGACATTTTTTAATGAAATTTATTCGGAAAAAAATGAATTTAACTTACTGTAATACTAATGGGTAGTAGTAAAATAAATTAATTTACTCACAATATTATCATGAAATATACCTAGGTAGGTAAATACTGAATAGTAATATTATAGGACGACAGACCGTCTTCGCTCATAATCGTTTTTCGTATACAATGATTTTATATCATTGAATTCAATTTTACCACATACATTACAAATATAATGTATTTTACCATCAATAATACAGTAGGTGGGGGATGAGGTGACCGAGTGGTCTGACGCGTCCGCTGCGACGCAGCCGGTCGCGTTTCTATCCTCGGCTACCGGGCGGCATTTTTCTCCGGACAAGTCGCGGTGACCGGAGAACAAGTGCTGCCATCCCCCACCCCCGGGGCATGGCAGAAACCTACGGGTGCCCCATTCGAAATTCTGCCAAAAAACAAACACACACGTGTTCCCCCCTACCGTTCCAAAATATATATACAATACAAACTACAATACAATTCCTACTACAGCTAATGGCCTCAGTTGCCGAAGCTTAAGTTCAATAAAAAAAAAAAAAAAATACAGTGGGTAAGTTAAATTAATTGTTACCAAAATATTGCATTTGAAAATTATATTATATGTGTATAAAATATAATAAAATACTTACGTAAAATGTTCAAGTACTCACGAATATTAATTTTAAATTACAACAAAATAACTAAAGTCGTTGCTTGTTTTTTTTTAAATTTTAGTTTTTGTTTAAATTCCTAAATAAATTAAAATAATTTACCAATGTTCGTGGTTCTGACGATTTTTATCAATATTTGAACTTCAATGCGTATAAAAAATAATTGTACCTATATATGTACCTTTAAAATTGTAGTATTGCTGTATAACAAATTTAAGGGCATTAATAAAAAAAAAATCAGTCTTAGGTCTGTACATTATATAGTTTATACAAATAATAGGTAGACAATTGTACTAAAAAGAATAACAGAGGAATTAATCAATAGAAAGATAATTGATAATTGAATATAATATACATAATTCTACTGTACGTGTGTATGTCACTGAACTCCTCGTAAACGGCTGGACCGATTTGACTGAATTTTTTTGCATGCGCTTGGGTGACGACCTGGATGGTATAGACTTACAATTGGACCCGATAGGTCCGACCCGGGAAGTTGCTCGAACAGGGATTTTAAGATTTACGGAAGAAATATTTATTTTTATACGGTTGCTATTGGTTATAAGAGAAATATAAATATATTTAGTAGAAATTGGTATTTTTTTTTTTTTGATTTGTTGGTTACCTGCAGTGGTTTATCAGGCAGATCAGGTATAAGCATGCATACAATTTAATTTTCGCACATTGCCTTCCAAGGTGGCTGAGTTGCACTTATCGCTCATATGCCGCTCATCGACGTGTTCGCAACCCACATCAGGTAGGCATATGCTCGCATTATCACCATCGAGTTTCATATAGAGTTGGCATTTTTAACGGGCAACAAAGTGCACGGGATCAGCTAGTTTATATGTATATAATAATATATTATCATAGTAATATGTGTATTGACAATTGTCAATCATGAATATTATATTATACAATCACCCAATATATTATGGATCATAATTAATACGTGTTTCATAAATTTCACTTATATATAACACATGTATACATAAAATATTTTATTATAATTTATACTATAAATTATTTTATATTGAGTAATTTTTAGTTGTTAATTATATATATATAGTACAGTTAAAAAACATAAGACATATAGGTGCACAGCCATATAGGTACAAAATTTATACAAAATTTACATAACTATAAAAATAATAATACAATAACTCAATACAAAACAGGTTGTTGTACTTATAATTTGTCAATAAAAAATATATGGTAATATAATTAGTTAATAAAAAAATTATTTGTTATAACGTTGCTTATATCTTTTGGAAAAAATGTTTAGAAACACTTATACATTTATTACTTGCCCATTGGGAGGTAACTAGTAGGTACTAGACCTTTTTTCGTTTATGGTAACATTTCGGGTAAGTCGTACTCGTATATTCGGGAGGCAATTGCCAATTCGTGTATGAAATATTGAACTTTTTAACTTCAGGAGGTAGTAAAAACCCCATCAAAAGCTTCCAAAATGATGAAAGAACTGAATAAGGTAATTTATAACATTTGAGTAGACCTTAAGAATTATGATTGTTATAATTATTATAACGTAAGTATTATTTTCAAACATGAATAACAATATTTTAGCTGAATTGAGTATTACATAACACATAGTTTGGTGTACCATTTTCTTACATCATTTCAAACACGTTTGAATAGAACAATACAATGTGTATTATTTTTTATCATAATAAATGTTTAAATTTATATTGTTATTGTGTCTCTTACATCACAACATATTTTTTAAGTAGCTATTCAAAAATATCGGCCCCCTTAAATTTAAAATTTATTAAAAAAACATATTTTAATATTAGAACTTGTCAAAGTTAACTTTGGGACAAACCCAATGATATATCATCATTATTGTTGATAATGCAATATTACCAGACTTTTTTTTTATTAGGGGGGGGACAGGTGGCAACATAAGCCATTGGGCGAAGGGTGGTTGTTTTTGGTAGGTTTTGTAGGTTTTTATGTAAGTAGTGAGGTAACAAGTGTTTGTGTGTCAATGGCAAGGATGTGTTGCTAAAAACCTGGGTGGTCACCCATCAGGGAGCAACAGCAAAGCCGGCTGGTACTTACACTCGGAGCGTTTCCGCAGATTGAGTTAACAACCGCGTCTTATCAAGCCACATATAATACTTTATCGAGGAGGTATCATATTATTTTTAAATTACATTTTTTGTCTGTCTTGATATTGGAGTATTTATTATTTTTAATTCTATCGTTGTTGATATACATTTTTTGAACAATATGTACTATTAAATGTTTAAATTCTCATACATTTATTTACTTGCCATGCATATATTATTTGCACATAATAATATAAAGTCTGATATAACATCATATGTCTGATAGTGACTCCGATCCATGACGTTATACCTATATGATATAAATATATACATAAACGTTTGATAACTATAAGATCAATTTTTTCATTTTTCAGGTCTTTTTGTTTCATTCTGTATACATAATACAGTAAAACTCACTTAAGACGCTTTTTAAGGGACAAACTCTTTGGAGAGTCTTAAGCGGAAAAGCATTTTATGCAGGAATGAAAAAAAAAAGTGATTGAAGAATGAAGTTAATTTTTTCAACACACTTCTTAATGTAGAAGGAGGTATCCTCAGCTCATTAGCAATATCCTTTTGTTTTTTTTCTCGATCAATCCTTTGTCACATTTTTTCAAAATGTTGAGTTTGTCCAAAATCGATAGCGCATTACGTTTTATACCACTAGCCATAACGAAATAACGATTGTACACTTGTGAACGATCTGCACTTACTAAACCTCATAATTCGATAAAAAAACAGTACAATATTTATAATAGGTAATGATTGCGATAAAATAAAACGATAAGAACACGTCAACTAGTAAAAATTTTTTTTTAGTATAAAAAACCTACTAAAATTTATTGTAATCTACTGAACAAAAGAGAGTTTTATCCGATGTGATAGACAAAAATCGAGCGTCTTATAACAGGTGGTTTTTACATTGCTAGTATAGGAAATGTCCAGTTCTATACTATTCAACATATGATAATAATCTATTTACTTATTATATGGCGTCATATATATAATATTTATCATGTTGTTAATAACGACTGCTGCTATCATCGTGTTAAAGATGGGTAACTGCACGTGTTTGCCACCTTCGTTAGGTATACATTATGCATTTATTTTATGTGTATAATAAAATGATCACAAAAGCTTCGTAATAACATTGAACAAAATATTATGTTTGAGACGTCATTACGAGTACTAAGTACTATTTTTTTTTTTTATATCAGATAACTTCTATGCTTTAAATTTGTTAAATTGTTTAATTTCATATTACTTTAATACTATTAGGTTAATATAATAAACATATTTTTTTTTATGTTAAATATATACATATATAGTGCTAATGGCTCAGTCACCAAATCCAATTGTATTTACTGTCAGTCATTCAAAAAAAAAAAAAAATAGTATAAATGCTTAAGCTGATTTTATTTTTGTTTTGCATTATCAACTCAAATTATTTCTATTTTTGAAATAGCTTCAAGTAAACATCTTTAAAACAATGTTTTATTTAAGAAATTAAAGAAATATTTTAGTATGCAATTTTTAGATCTCGTCAAGTACCATTCTTTAAAGCAATTTTTGATTAATTTTTTTGCAACCAGATATTTGTTTAGTTGAAAATTTGTATACCTCCAATGATTTTCCCGAGAATTGGCGATAAGCAGTATTTTAACCTTTATGCAATTTTAGTCTTTTATAAATTATTATATTATACATATTTTTATTATTATTCATGGTTAAGTATCAACTTTAACTAAAGTTATTAGCTTAAAACGATACAAATATTAGTGATATAACAGTAAATACATAGGATTCACTAGATTAAGTTGTTCGTATAAATTTATTTGGGAAATGAAATAATTCTATGGCTGTTGTCTTCAATAGGGCACAGATCTTCGAAGATACTGTCTGAAATTCCTAGGCTACTTATAGTTTCCACGTGGTTTCGACAGTGCAAAATGACGTGTTTGTTTGTAAGCGGTTCTTCTTCTCCGTATTGTATTTCGTATATCAGCATATGTATATCAAAGTTTCGTCAGCACACATTAGGAATACCCAAGTAGATTACATACCCATGATAGGTACAAAGAATATTAATATGACTAATGATATATAAAAATATTTTATTTGTATTTCACACTACTCGGTTAAATCGTTTATTATCTAATTAAAATAATAATGAACATTTTAATCAAATAATATAATAAAACTGCATTATTTTTGTTATTTCAGTGATAAAAAGGTTAAATAGTATAAATATTGATTTCATGTAGCCTACGATTATCATTCGAATTCAGGTACCATCAAGATGAGGACGTCACATCTCTACGTTATCTTACTAACTGCATTGGTAGTTCAGGAAAGTATTTAAAAATAAATATTTAGTGTTATAAAATAAAATATATTATAATTTTTTGTTTTTATTTAATTTAATAGTAATTAATAAATAAATATGTTTGATACTATAGATTTCTTCTGAAACTATTGCTAAACCTGCTGAACTAGATAAACTAATAAGTAGCATTCTATCATCTTCGTTTGAGATAGTGGCAAAACCTATCAGCGATTTAGTAAAAGAAATACCAATCAAATCAGAAGTAGAAAATTACTTGAAAGAATTCACGTGGAAATTAAAGCGGTTTATGGAACAAGCCCAAGAGGTAATTCGTAATTTTTTTATAGTATAATTATAGAATAGTGTATGTACTGAATTGACAATTTTTTCTTTATTTAAGATCCTTTATGAGCCTTACAAACACTTCACATAGGTACCATAAAATAATACACTTATTGTATTTTTAATAATTTGAAATCATAAAATTATTTATTACATTTAATTTATGAATCCCAATGTACTTTATAAAACTAAAACAAATAAATTAAAACACCATACTGCTGCAGCATTAATTATGTTATTTGTATGACATTTTCTTTACATTTTATCAATACACATATTTTATGTTTATAAAAGTCATCCAAATTATTAAACTATTTCAAATTATAATAGGTATAAGTAGTAGATTGACCCGAATATTTTTAATTTTTATGTATACATTGCATTACAGGCAAAGTATGAACGTATGATAGAGGTACAATGTATACTCAATAAGTAGGTATTTACTCATATCATATTGTTGATGTGCATTTTATTAAAGAAAACCATCACCAGATTAATTTATATTTGTTAATCTTATGTTTGATGATTAATCACTGTATTGAAAATATTTAATTTAAGTCTCAAAATAAATACCATTCAACGGTATCTTAATATTGTGTATTTGACTTGTCAAAATATTACTGTGACGTCATACAACCAAACAGCAAACAGCGGCCTAGAATGTTTGTAATTCTAAAATTAAAACAATTAAAATTTTTCATGATAAGATTTCCGATTTGTTTGATTAATATGAGATGTTTATACCTCAGTGACCAGTGTGTTTATATGTAAAGTATATGATGATATTGCCATAATAATTTTAATACAACTATTAGTGTAAATGTTGTAAAAGTGTGTTTGTACTTTGTGCCCACGAATTTGGCTTGTAATAAAGTGATGGGATTCTTTTTGTGGTTGCATTGATTGCAGAAGTACCTATAATTGTTATTATTTTTCTAGAAATATGTGAAGTTGTATTTTATACGTTATAGGTAGTGTAACACATTCGCACTTTTAAAATATTATATACTTTATAAATTGCTTTTTTTGTCATTTTTCTTTATATTACAATTCCTTCAACTAGTTAATCGCTATTTGTAGACGGATTATGTTATTAAATTATTTACACGTACCTATGATTGTAATTTTCACAATTTCGATTTATTTACCCTATACTAATAAGTAATAGGTACCTAATTAAAGAGCCTGTACTCTATAACGTATCTATGAAGTTAGGTATCTATTTAACTGGCTATACCGATGTTCAAAGTTTTCTAAATCTTATCAAGATAAGTTTCTTATTACATACCTGATTAAAGAATATTTATTAGATAGTATAATGTGTATATTAGATATAGCTTATTTGTTATGTATCATTTTTTTTAACTATCGGAAGGCTAAATTTTTCTTATATTTCTAAATTGATTAAATTTTATTAAATTTTTGATTAGCATGATTAAATTTTTATATTTTGAATGTAAATCAACCGTAGTTCTAGACTATAACGTGTATAATGTACCTAATACAATATATAGACAGAAAATTATAAAATGTACATTATAAAGTAATTGTTTTAAATCTACTATAATGCATAATGGATATATATTATATTTAATAAAATATTTTTTAAGGATTTTTTTAATATGATACCAAAAGAAGAGAGAGAAAATAAAAAAAAAATGATTGGATACTTGTCAATGTATATGTCGGGAGCATACTCAAAAGCAGCAAAATCTGTAGCAACCGCTACGAACAAATCTTTTGAAACATTACCGGATGAAATTAAAACCAAATTACTTGATATAGGAAATGACATTAATGACTTCTTAAGGAAATTAAGGGTAATTTTAGTTGTTTAAAATAAAATATATTATTATTAATATTCAATTCAATTATGATATGTTTTTCATGCACAGGTTTCAAATATGAACGACTCAAAAACATCACAAAAAACACACGAATAATAACGAATATTTATAAATACACAATCAAAAATAATCGAATTTCTAGTTATTATAACAATTCAATGTTAAGTTTTTATTATATTGGCAGAAATTACAAACTATCTACAAGGAAACACTGATATTGTATTTATTGGTGTGTTTTTAAATTATATACACTAATTTTATTTGTAAAACAAATTTTATAAAATATCGATTAGATACATCTTACATTATATTTCACCTTAGCTAAGGGATGAAAATTGTAACTTATGATTATAAGTATTATTGTTTTATTTATTTATTTATATAAAGTCACAAGAAAATATACATTATGCAATGAATAATATTATTTTATAATTGATTGTATTTTGTACCTAAATATTTGCACCTTTAAATTTAATAATTTTAATACCTTAATATTTAAAATCTATTTCTGAATGTCTATTATCTTCAGAAACTTTATAGTTACATTTTGATTATTTTTAAATGAAATGTTATACGGTTATTTTGATCAAAAACCAAAATTGAAGTTAAAAAAATTACGATTACGTTTGGTGATGTGAGAGCTGTATTTTCATTGACTTAAATTCTAATGGGGAAGTTGGTTAATCAGTTCGTTGCCACTTCTGTAACATTATGGAGGTGTCATACCACTTTATAAATCTTGTACTGTACATTATTCTAAGATGTGGTTCACAGTCTGATGACAAATAATATAGTTATATAATTACTAATTATAAATTGAAAATTATATTTATATTCGATTCAAATATTGGATGGAACCATTTGGTTATTTTGTTATGTTTCTCAAATCAATATGTCAAATACAAAAATTATATATTAATGCCTTTTTTTCATGAATATTTACTTGCGCATAAATAAAGATTGCGCAAATAGCTTATAAAAATAAAAAATATAATATATTTATTCTATATTCAGTTAACAACTTACGTTTATACTAGAAATGTACTACTGAAATTCAATACTAGATATGAAGAATAAAAAACAAAAAGAAGTAGTTAAAATAATTAAAAAGATATAAGAAATATAAATAATTTTGTTTCACTTTTTCATTCAGCTTTAATTATATAAAGTTTAGGTCTTATAGTATTAATAATTTCAAATTGTATTATTTATAAAATGAACTTAAATATATATATATATATATATATATATATATCGGTTATTCTCATGTTGTTACATTAAACACGTAGAGAATATTATCACTTCTATCCATGAAATCACCTAGTTAAATAAAGAAAAGGTTAAATTTAAATATATATTTTAATAAATACTACTAATATTTATATAAATACTTACTAACTATTTAGTTAGGTCAATATGAAAATATTTTAGGACATCATATCTCTCAAAATCTTGAATATGGCGCAATTGAGTATATTGTCGGGGGAGGACGTAAACAATTTAATAAAATAAAACGATGGCAGAGGAAGTAAGCAATATAAATATAAAATACAAAATAATACCAACGGCGGACGTAAATAATATAAGATTTAGCAATGCCATCGAATGTGTGGCAGGTATAAAAGAAGACATTGATTGAGTTAAAATTGGTGGATAAAAAAAAAAGTTTTCAAGGTTGTTTTTATTGAATATATAATATGGTGGGTACTCTTTTCAGTGAAGACGTTTGAGCAATTTATTCGTTCGAATTCGTTACTAAGATGAAGACATCAAGTGTTTGTGTTCTCGTGATATCGGCATTAGTGGCCCAGGAAAGTATTTTTGAACTTTTACTATATGGGTAAAAATTTGATTTTAATTTTGTGAATAATTATAAACTACAATGTATAGGTTTCTTCTGAGGTTACTGAGCTCGATCAAATGGCACTCAATTTGTTCCATTCTTTGGTTGATATTGTTGAAATACCGTATAGAAAAATTGAAAATATTGTAAATCCATCTGAAGCTGGTGTAAAAAAAGAACCATTTTTATATGATCTAGGAATCAAACTTAAACGGAAGAAGGAAGAAATTGAAAGGGTAATGATATTTTTTAAGTAATTTACTTAACTATTCAACAAAATAAAATACAATAGTATAATTTTTTATTTAATTGTATTCATAGCCATATTAGAAGGCCCAAGTTGTACTCTTTGTTTTTGTTTTTTTTAAGAAATCGTTAAAACCAAAAATTATTTGTGAAAAATAAAATGTTTTGGCAAAGATTTCCACGAGTAATTATAAATGTTCTATTTATAGCTATACCTATTTTAATATGCTGAGTTGTTAGTCAAATGAAACTTATTGTAATATTGTATAATAATACAATTATTTACTATGTAAGATATAGTACATGATGGATTTATTTCCATCATTCAGATAATTTGTTTTTAACAAATTCAACATTAAAATCATCAAAAATCAATACTATTTATAATATATTGTAAAATACTTCAAATTTAATAACTGATTTTTAAAACTGAAAAACTAAAAAAAAAATATTTTACTTTAATTTATGAATACAAAATATTTAATTATAATATTTTTCGTACCTATTACATATTTAGGTACCTACATAAAATATGAAATGTTAAAAAAAATGTACAAGGTATTGTATTATTTTTTAATACCTCGCCATGTTTTTAACCGTCATTATTTTTTTTTCCAACTCATTATTTTAAAAGTTGATATTTATAAATAATTGTTGTATGGTTGTATAATTGTATTTATGTTGTTTAAAATATTATACATACTTGAGAGAAAATTTAATTTAATTTATAAGTGCTTCATCATATCAATATACTGGCATTCTTAAAAGTTTATAGTATAACACCTAAAAAAAAAAAATGTAATGTAGCCAGCCGTCTTACACATTATTATTCTGCAAGATCCCAATTAAAAATAATATAGTTATTAACTATGAAGTATAAACCACTGTAATAGTAGATAGCAGATTTACATAAGGTCATAAATATTAAATAGTATTTAAATGTTATTTTAAGAAATACGTAGAATCACTATCACCGGATACTAGAGAATTGCAAAAGCAGAGAATAAGAGAATATAACGATATTTTGGATAGAATGGTTTATTCAATTGAAGGTTCTAGCAAAAAGGCCAGGAGTATGGTGAATGAATTTTTCAACAATCTACCAAAAAATGTTCAAAGCAAATTAATTGGATTGGGAGGAGACCTAAATAATATTTTACATAAAATAAAGGTAATTCAAATAAATATCTTTAAGCTTTGAATATTTAATAATCCGTAGATGGCTGGTAGTTGAAAAATAATGCATACAATTTTTGTTACAGGAAATGTCCAAAAATGATTCTCCAGCTGCAAAAAATAAATAACTCCTCTTCAAAATTATTTGTAAAAATCAGCTGATTATGGCGTCAATATTATAAAATCATTTTATTACCCATGACAAATGATTACTGATTCATATTTATATCATGGCTTTATTTATTTACCTACATGTACTACACATAACTAATAGTTCGTTTTCTTGGGTAGAAATCAAAATTAATGTGATAAAAATAAGTAATAAAAAGCAGATGAGCTTTTTGTAAATATTTCAAGCAATAATGTTTCATATTTAAAGCAATACGCTTGAGAATGATTAGAAAAACTGATAATAATTTTTCTTTTTATACATTTAAATAATTATTTATCATCTGTAATCTATATGTACTAAAATAAACAACGTATTAAATAAAAAATAATTGATTTATTAAATTTGTTTTTATATATTTGCGTAATACAGTAACACGCTAACACGGGGATCTAGAGGATATGTAATAAGGCATTGAGGCTAATGTAAACAATATATTAAATAAATAAATGATTAACCATTCAATCATTAATTTTTTTATTTTCTACAATTATGAGATTGTTATATTGTTCAGGAAAGTATTTTTAAATGTTAATTTTGTATGACAAACTAAATCTTATTTAAACATTTTTAATCATTAATAATAGCTTATACATTTTACTATACTTAACCTATATTTATTCTGAGGCTACTGAGCTTGATAAAATAATTGTCAAAGTGCTGGAACCTTTAGTTTACCTAGCGCAGATATCTTTCTTAGAGTTAGAAAAGGAAGCTCCTGTAAGATCGCTAAGGGATAAAATTAAAATGTTTTTATATGGGTTCTCATCAAAAAGTGATAAGATAGCAAGATAACTTAATGAGGTAATTATTTGTAATATTTGAGTGCAGCTTAGTAACTAATTATGATTGTTATAAATATTATAAAATAGGTATTATTTTATTATTATTTTTTTAGATATGAATGTACATTCTGTTAAATTTTAGTTAGGCTTTTAAAGTTTAAAATACACAATCCAAACAATGTATAGAAATAATATTGTTTAATTTTTTAGCCATGCTAATTATTATTACTTTTTGATGATATTAATGTAATATACTTATCATATCAGTATATCACTTCTTAACAATTTAGTTATGAATATAATTATAAATATTAATATAATATATTATATATATTATAATTATAAATTTAATTTATTTATATTTAGTTATTTAATTTTTCATTATCGATGTGATAGAATCAATTAATTCCAAAAAATCTATTTTCAAGACTCATATTACACAAAAATATTTTTTTTTATAAAAATTAAACGTGTATTGTGTAACTATACACATTAATTTAAATCAATGTATAACTGTATACATTTTTAGTAATAGTGAGTAGGCGAGTGGCATAAAAATTATGTTAAAGAAAATCACATTTTGTGTCTTGTTACCTAGGTGGCTTTATAAGACTGTAAATTAGTAAATTAAGTATTTCCTCTTACAACACATTTTGAAGTTCAATGGACAAGTTTTTTAATTAAGCTGAAATTTAAACTAAACCGATGTTCAGGTCAGGTCTATTAGGATGACGATTGCAGACGATTCTTCGTAGATTCTCGAATCGCAGAAAAAAAAAAATATTAGAAAAATTTCTGTATTTAACATACCAAATCAAGCAAAATACTTATTAATTAAGAAATCTTTCAATACATTGTAAGAGTATATGCAGACCAAATTATTGAGCATACGGGATACAGGACATCGATATTTTGTAAAGAAAATGACAGTATGTCTTGAAAAAATAAATGTTTTAGTAATTAATGTTTTTGAATATTTCTTGTTAAATACGTAAAATATGATAATGGAAATTCGTCGAACAGAGAAATACGGTGAGAAGCTTAAGTTCGAAGTAATATTGTATAACATTTTATGTACAATTAAAAGGTATATTATAAAACTATAAGTTGTTGTCATACAAATTTATAAATATACATATATATTTTATTAGTAAACAAATGTAAAAAATACAAGAAATAACAAAACTATTACTATGGAGAATTTTTGAGATTATGTTATTCACCGGTTGGTGGTTTAATACGAATATTCAATATATAATATTGCTAATCAATAGCCGTTTAATAATAGATTTTTAGGACCAATTTCTCCAAATTCAGAGCCCAGGGGCAGTCCAAGGCTTCGACATTGGTTCAGTGTCGGCTTGGTATATTAAAGGGCTCCAAAAGGTCCACCAAAAATGTCATCTCATCAAATTATATGAATAGCGCTTGTAAGTAGTACAATATACTGTATTTTAAATAAAGGTTATATTTTATATACTATTTAAAATACGCAAAAAAATTAGGTTGACTGCATAGATAGAGAAAATATTTACGCTACAATTATATGAATTGTGAATAGTATAAATAATACTTGATATACAACATTACAATTTAATATTTTATAATCCTATACAATTGATTGTACAATTGACTTTCTTATTTAAGTATGTTTTTTTAATTGACTAGGTGAGTTTACGATATATTAAAATTAGAATGCTTATTTTTTAAATTTTGGGGAATAAGATGGCACTTTACACAAACACGGCCGTTGGATCCGGCTGCGTTCGCAACCTGGGTACTAAGTACAAATAAGACACAAAATATTGATGGATTCACTAATCACTAAATATTATATGATATAAATTGTCCTCTATAGTTGTATCTATGTACATTTTATGTTAAGATAATCTAATGTACACTTAACCAATGGTAATAAATAACAATTGACATTTAAGCTAATATTTATATATTATATTGAGAACAATATTTTACTATTAGGTATATTCATTGTTTTTTGCTTATTAAAATTGATTGTAATTATTATAAACAGTTTTTAAATAAATTAAATTGCGTTTTATTTGGAATGACATACTATCTATGAATTATAATTATTTATGATACTGATTCATTAAAATATTTTCATGGAATCTTGTAGCATTTAATATATTATAAGACCCAGACCGTATAGTATCCACCTAAGGCATATTGTGGTAAATATATGCACTGTTCGATATACATCTAACCATGTTTGAGTGACCAAAATACCATAAATTAACCGGTTTCAGATTGGACTTTAAAGTAAACAATTGAATAGTGTGACTACTCAGGAAGAACAGATAATACAACACACAAAAATCTTTATTAATATAAAATACAAACACAATTTACATATTAAAAAAAACATTCCCCGATCGTCATGTTTACCTGTACCACGAAGGACTCAATTTGTTTTCGACATCCTAATAGCCTCAAATATTATTTTACATTGTCCTGCCTGAGTTTCTTTGCTTCATTGACCTAGATTGACAATATTTATTATTACTATATTTTATAATTTTAATTGGCCCATACAACAACACTTAACTCATTTCATTGTACATAGTAATATTTTTTTAGTGATTTTAATAATATTATATATTATTCACTTATTTATGTTTTATAATACATTATTTTATGGTGTGTTAAATAAGTGAATGTGGACTGTTTGTATAACATTCTTTATCTTTGTATAGAAATGCGTATTTCATCTTATACGCTTTCAACCTTTAAACTTGTAAATAATGATTAGTAAGTAAGTTATGACTCGAAATTGTTAGTGCCTAAGTTATAGACTATAGCTACAAGCGCTTACAAATTAATCTAATATTACTACAAAAATAATGAGTGAATTTAATACGTGTATTAATTATTGTAAGTGTACAGCAGTATATATGACAGAGTATCATGAATAAAAAATATAAAACGCAGTAAGCATCCATCGCATCCCATAATGGAATAAAAATAAACAACAGTCAACATTGTTTTGTGAGAATGAAATTTCTGATTAATGTGCGTTCTATATACGCCAGTTATCTCGATCCACATTCAATGAGAGCTGGACTGCTTAAGATTTCCAAAGTTTGGGAACACATAAACTTGGTGAACTTTAAGAACTCCTTTTCGCCACAGCAGCGGTAATTAAAACTTATTTTCATAATACAGATTCTATTAAATGATAGCGGGAGACGGATGGAATATCTGCTGAACTCTTTTTCGACAAAAGAGACTGAAAAGACCTTTGTCGATCTTTTGAACGGGACGGACCCGATTACAAAACCAAAAATCCCTTGTACAGCGCGAGGCCGAGTGAAATGCGTCGCTGCTTCGGCAGAACCCCCTAGAGGTTCGTACACACCACAGGACCGCATCAAAGCAATGTGGACATGGAAATTAATTTCCAAAATCCAAAAAGTTTCTAGAGACCGAGATTCATTAGTTTGATTTTAATTGGTGCCAGACAGAAAAGCGCGAACCTGCTAAGATGCAGTTATGAGAGGATTTTCTGAGATAGAAAAATAAACGTTAACAAACCACATCAGCCGGGGAGTCTGCTTATTTTATGTATATTTGCAATCTACTATATATTATATTATATTGGTACCTACTTAAATGGTTGAATTCAAAAATAGACACATACACACATACACACAAACAAATATTTATATATACACGTTATTACCATAAATCGATAGGACCGTTCAGTCGTACACAATATACTCGACAACTGCCGTCTGTCTGTATGTCTGTAAAGATATTCATTCAACACTCGAAATGCTCTCTTCGTCGTTGTGTATAATATACGACAAATTCGATGGTGCGAAAGAAAACCCTCTTTCACCATTTATATTATATTCGTTGAAAATCCTGAATTTAAAATAAATCAACATATTATATTATGGTATCAAATATATGGAATGTCCTTTCTACATTGTAATATGCTCGATAATATGTATATTATTCCAATTTCGTTTTTTCGTATTGTTAATAGTCAATATATTTTTCTACACTACTAGCATCAGTAGCAAAACCAGAATGTTTTCAAAGGGGGGGGGGGACGAACTATTACAAAAACGTTATTAATTGGTAATTTGTTCATATTATTTATCTAGATTAAATAAATGTACATAAACATAAATTATTCTATACAGCCCAATGGTAGTTGAGGGGGGAGGAGCTGCTGGTAGCGTTTCTACAGTTTGCAAGTAGCAACTAGATATTGCAATACAATAGTTTCAAATACTGTTATAGTACTATGACTGAAATTGTGGATTTTAATATCTTAAAATTCTATAAAATATATTGAATATACAACATTTTATCCGATATAATAGTAAATGAAAACCAGGTTATTAGATAGCTCATTTATAATTGCTTTCAATTAGAATGAAGACATGTAGGTAGGTTGTAGGTACATTAGTTTGTTCTTACAATAATTATCACAGCTGCTTTATATGAAGTTATAAATACATTACGAACAGGAATTTATAATTTTGAAGCTAATGTTTGCAACGGTATAAATCAGTTACTTATCTTATACAAGCACTGTACGAAACTATTTTACAAATTTAATTTAATTTTAAATAAAATGTTTCATAATATATTATTAACATTACATGTATTATTGAATACATTAACATTTTACAACCATATTAATATTAT